CCCAGGGCCCGGCTGGAGGCACTCAGTGGGGTGGCTGTGTGCACTAGAGCACGGTGGAGCAGGCCCCTAAACTGGTTCGAGCCAGCTCAATCATGACGATGCTAACCTGGGACAGATTCAGATGATCTGGAGCTTCAACCCCGAATGGGAAAATGACAAGCCGAGGCCCAGGGTTGGGAGACTCGGGAAAGGTGTGAGTGATCCCCTTTGGAGACTGGATTGTTGCCGGGACTCCGTGGAGAGCAGCCCGTGCCAGATTACCCAGTAATCGCAGACTGACTTACCAATCGATCATGAATAATTCCACATTATCTTCACCCCAGCCGAGACTCTGCTCCTAGATATGGCCAGTATCGCTCTCCCAAAACCAAGCACCTCTCTACAGAATCAAAGTCTCAGGACTTTCTTCACTACAGGTCAGTCAGTAAGCACAAGGGAGCCCGGGCTTGCCTTGCTGACTGGGTAATCCACCCTGGAAAGCAACACACATTCAAAGTGTGCAGTTGCTGCCATCTTTGAGCTGGGGCACCATTGTCTCTGATTCAGCCAGTCAAGAGATCGGATCGCAATGCAACACGTCCAACACCCTTGTTTTCTATGACGGAGATGAGGTTCATTTTGTTCCCACTCCAATTAACATTCCCCATGTTAAAACTTCACGTCCATTCTGGTGTCACCTTGTCCGTCACCCATGACGCAACCAGGCTGAACCGTTGGAAGCTCAGCTGCCTGGTTGTTGCTGTTCAGTACCATCGAGTCGGTTCTGACCCATAGCAACCCGGTTCTGAGCCGTCCTCATAATTGTTCTGATGTTGGAGCTCTTTATGGAAGCCACTGTGTGAACCTGCCTTGTGGAGTGCCTACTCAGGGACCCATATACAGGTTGTCTGACCTTGGACTGTTAGCCCATCCCACCATGCCTCTGTTTCCCGTTTGTAACCTAAGGCTAATAACAGAAACTGCCTCATCTGGGTATTAATTCTTTGAATGAACCCACTGAATTAATACCCATAAAGCACCCAGCATGGTGTCTTGGCCAGGTGACAAGGGTTCTCTAAACCATTGGTTCCCAAAGTGGACGATACTGCCCCCCTGGGGGCACTGGAATGATCCACAGGGCCTGTAGAAGCAGATGCCTACACTTTATCATAGATGCTGGGCTATCCTACAAACGTTTTTAATTGCTAAGGGGCGTGGTGTCTTATGTATTTGTTTCTCTCTTTGAAAAGGGGGCAGTCGGCCAAAGAAGCTCGCGAACCTATGGTGTAAATTCTGCTTCTCATCTGCAAAGGGTCCTGAGGTCTAAGGGTCTCAGAAAACCGGGTCCTTAGCTCGGCACTCAGAGATGAATCCCTTCTGTGGCTAGTCACAGACTGCAGTCCCAAGAGGGTGAGCTTCTCCCAGGCTGCCCCTCAGCCGGGAGTAGAGAGCAGGGGTCCTGGACCCCACAGCAGAGGGTCCAAAGCCAACAGTGAGCATTTGGACAAGGTCTCCACTTTCTGTCATGGGTAACATTTCTGCACAAGACAGGCTATCTTGTGAGCCCTCCACGGACGCCGCCCCTCCCCCCCCTCGAGAGAGAGAAGAGAGGAGTGAGGAGGGAAGGTGCTCGCCACCGCAGGCTCCCAGAGAAGCGTGGTGCTCGTAAGAGCTTTGTTCACACGCGTGAATAACTCTTAATGGTGCATTAACTGAGAGGTTGCCTCCTATCCAGCAGCAGCAGTGAAGGAAGGAACCTGTTAGGAGCCATTTGCCAACACAGGTTGTGGTTCCCTCCCACTCCTCCCTAACTCCCCCCAACACACTGCACCCACCCCCCGCCACACTCGATAAGGAGGTCTGACTTCCAGGAAGTGGACACTGTCCACTGAAAGCCGAACAGGCAGCCACTTGCAAACCCAGCACGGTTTGCAGCCAACCTGCCCATAGCACCCCCTCCCGCCGGCTGACCTAGCCAGAGGGAGCCGCTTCCTCTTCCAACAGCCCACCCTCCACCTCTCAGTGCACCTGGAAGGAGGCCCCAGGCCTCTGCGGATTCCATCTGTCCTGAGATGGGGTACTTACTGCCTCCCATGCTGTGGACCAGAGCTCTAGGGCTCTACCTCCCTGTAAAACCTCCTACCAGTCCTTCCTCAGCCACGCCTCACCGCTGGGCATGCTCACCTCCACCACCCTGGGACACGCACAACACCACCCAAAGCCACCATGTCCTCTGTTCCCGTTCCCAGGGCTGGCACCCAGGAGTTCTCCCAAACAGGGATCCTAGATCAAAGGTGAGTGGGAAAGGAGAGAGCTGGGCACATGCCACTGAGGCAGGCACACAGCAACGTGCTTCTGTGCTTGTTCATCACCCACGTGGACGGGCCTTGCAGGGGGGGTGAGGAGCAGGCAGCATTTGCCAAGTGTACTTGATGAGGTTTTCCCTTCTGTAAAGGGGGCCCATAGCGGCATTTGGGGGACATGGGCAGCTCAGTGGTTGAATTCTGGCTTACCTTGAGAGAGGCCCAGGTTCAATCCCGGGCCAGTGCACCTATGCAGAGCCCTGGTGGTGCAACGGTGAAGCCCTCGACAGCGTGGCAAAGGGAACCCTGGGAGAAAAGACGTGAAGACGTGGCCATGTTCTCCACAGCCTGGAGAACCCCACGGGCAGTTCTACCCTGGAGTTTGATTTGGTGGCGCCCCATGCTCAGCCACCACCCCTCTGTTGGTGAACTTGGGCGTGGCTTCTAGACTTGAGCCAGGCTAGGAAGAAAGGTCTGGAGAACTACTTCTAAAAATCAGCCAGTGGAGACCCTGTGGAGCACAGCAATCTGACCCCGACTCATCACGGGGTTGGCACTTGGCCAGGCTGCATCTGGCTCCACTGTGTGCGGGGCGGTCATGAGCCCCGTCCACTAACTGCGCCGACGTCTGTCTGGCACAGGCCCTGGGTGTGCGGTGCCGTTAGAGAAGGATGCAGCGGGGCCTGGCTTGGAAGTGCTCCTGAAGAAGCTATCATCGGTGTAGCCGGAGCCTCCCAGCCTGCGACGGTCTCAGATGAAAAGGCAGGCAGGCGCCTCCCAGACAAGTAGACTCTTTTTGCTTCGGGGCGGGCACGAGTCTCAACCGTTCACGACACCCTAGTAAGTAAGCATGAGGAAGCCGGCGCCTCCCTTGCTTATTGGATCATCCGACCCTGCTGCTGGGGAGAATCGGAAGGAGGTGTGGAAGTAAGCAAGGAAGGACACTTCATCACTCAGCCCCAGGCCTCCACCGTGGCTGGAAACTGTGGGGCGGCGTCAGTACAGGTAAATAGCCACTGGGTGGCAGCACAGTCCAAGGAATAATAAAGACGGTGGTTGGACGGACTTCCCTGGCCAACCCAACTCTGGCTGTGCAGGCGGCTGGTCCCTTCCTCCTCTATCCTCAGCTGCGGCTTGATCGCCAACTCCCTAGATCCCAAGTGCCGTGATGGACTCAGCACATACTTACTGGACTCCTGCAGACATTGTGCCAGCCACTCAGGTCCGCCCTGAACGAATCCTGGGAGGCATGGAGAGAGGTCTAGGTTCCCCTGCTGGGTGCCTGCAGGAAGAGAGGTGGCCTCCATTGCCATCCTGGCATGACTCGGCTGGGCATTCTCCACAGGAGCAATCCGATCATCCTTCCCTTCCGCTCCCAGCCCCAACCCCACCCCACCCCACAACCAGTTACTGTCCTGGAATGGATTCCAACTCAGGGCAGGCCCATGTGTGCCAGGTAAAACTTGCCTCCCTGGGGGTTGCAAGAGCCGAACTGAGGGAAGTAGACCACCAGGCCTTTCTTCTGAACACCTCCAGGTAGACTCAAGCCTGCAGCCTTGTAGTTAGTCACCGAGGGCACTTTGAACTACTCACTGGACGCTCACAGGCTTTATCACATCAACTCCTGGCGGCACTTGAGGACAGAGTAGAACTGCCCCCATTGGGTCTCCAAGACGGCAAATCTTTCCAAGAGGCTGGTGGGTTCGCCCCCTCGATCTTATGGTTAGTAGCCCCCCCACTGAACTCACAGTGCCACTAGGGCCCCTTGTGATGGGAAATGGCCTAAAAATAAAACCTTCCCTGGCACAAAGTCGATTCTGACTCTCGGTGACCCTACAGGACAGAACTGAGCTGCCCTTGAAGGTCTCTGAGGCTGCCAAGCTTCATGGGCGCAGACAGCCTCCACTTTCTCCCACAGAGCTCCTCGGGGTGGGTCCAAACCACCACCTTTGAGGCTAGCTAGTGGTGGTCTCCCTCCATTCGATTCTAACGCTAAGGAAGCTCGCAGAGCAGAGCAAACTGCCTCACCGGGTTTCCAAGGCTGTAATCTCCTGGAGCGGAGCGGACTGCCTTTTCTTTCTGCTCCAGAGCTGCGGGTGAGTTCCAACTGTTAGCAGAGGAGCCGCCAGACACACGCACTGCCATCCCGTGGATGCTGACTCAGAGCCACCCTATAGGACAAGGGGGAACTGCCCCTGTGAGCTTGCAAGACTGTAACTCTTCACGGGAGTAGAAAGCCATGGCTTTCTGCCACAGAGCAGCTGGCGGTTTCAAACTGCTGCCCTTGCAGTTAGCAGTCAACTTGGTCACCACTATGCCACCCGGGCTCTGCTCCCATCCACATGGACAGCCTCAGACACCCACAGGGCTGCTCGGCTCTGCTCTGTCCTATTAGGGCGCTATGCATCAGGGCAGGGAATTTGTTTTGTTTTGAGTCAAATGCAAACAGCTTGTGCCCACAGACACGGATAACTGGTATTCCCGGTTCACGGGGGATGGGGGTGGGGGGTGGAGTGGGCAGGGCTGATTAGGACAGTCCTTGGGGGCGCTGTGAGTCATGGGGGGGTGGTGGCAGAGGCAGAGCTATTGGGCAAGTGCATCTAACAGGGTCTTCCCCTGGCGGGCATACCTGAGGGCACCCGGGCTGCCCTGCTGGACATCCTGACTAAGCGATCTGTCGACTCTCTCCCTGTCTCTGTCCCTACTGCCCCGCCTCAGGTGGGTTTTCTTGCATGAGAAGGCATACCAGGTGCGGGACACAGCCATCGAGTCCTCGGTGGTGACCAAGGTGAAAGGCTTTGGACGCTACGCCAACAGAATCATGGATGTGTCCGATTATGTGACCCCGCCCCAGGTACGGTGTCCCCACACCCACTGCGGTGCAAGGTGGGCTCCTGACGCTAGGTAGATAGGAAGGGAACTGGGGATGGGACTCCCAAGACGAATGATCCCAAGAAGGAGCCCCCCCTCACCCCATCCTGTCCCAAGCATCCAGGAAATGTCAGCAAAGCTGCTTCCTGACACCCCCTCAGTGGCACCAGGGACCCCCACATGCACGCACGCACGCACGCGTGTACACACACACACACACACGGACTGACAATAGCCCTGCAGTGGCTAGACAGAGTGGACTTGAGCCCCAGCCTTGCCCTTCATAGCCCTGTAGCCAGCCGCCTCGCTTTCCCTCTGCAGAACAGGCGTACTCTGAGTGCCCGCCGCACTGATGGGATCTGGTGTTTTTGCTCTCTCCTTCCTCCAGGGCACCTCCGTCTTCGTCATCATCACCAAGCTGATAGTCACTGAGAACCAGATGCAAGGCCTTTGTCCCGAGGTGAGGGCAAGGGAGCAGGCCAAGGAGATGGACGGGTGGGTGGGGGCGGCGCCAGGGCTGAGAGAGGCTCTGCGCTCAGAGCCTGCTGCGTGTGAGGTTGTCCCCCCACCCCCCAGTCATCTGCGCCCGGTCACCCACCTGCTGCACACCTGTCTGTGTGTCCACAGAGCGAGGAGAAGTTCCACTGTGTATCAGACAGTCAGTGCCGGCCCGAGCGCTTTGCAAGCGGGGGTGAGTGCGGCCCTTCTTACCTCCCCACCCCTCGGAGGGCCTGACTCCAGAGTGTTAGAGGGGGCTGGGACTCTGAGGGTAGCACCCCCCTGGCTGGCAGAGGACAAAGAACTTGCCTGCCCTGTGTGTAGTCCTGGGCATGTGTGGATGCCCTCTGGGCGCCAAGCCCTGAGTGTCCAGTGTCCAGTCCAGGGTGGAGGTGATGGCGGACAGGGGCCATGAGGTACTGCCATTGAGGCACGAAGAGAGGGGAGAACCAGAAATGGGTTCCCACTGGGTGGCCCCAGTCGGCTTCCCAAAGCAGGGGGCTTGGTCTGGGCCCTGAGGGTGGGCAGGGTTGGCAGGGGCCAGAGATGGTAGAAGGCTCGGAAGCAAGGAGCATGGGCTGTGGTGAGGAGAAAGGGGGTGCAGGGGCTTGGAGCCTGTTAAGAGGTGCGGGCTTGGGAGGAGCTGGGTGAGAGAGCACCCTCTGCAGGGTGAAAGTGTTGCAGCTCACCCCCTCCCCCAAATCCCAGCCTGTGCCTCACTCCTCCTGCCTGGGGGGGTCCCTGGGTGGGGTAGGGCTGGGGTGGGAGTGGTGGTGGTGTGGGGTGGTGGGCTGATGTGGTGGCAGTGTAAGGGGTGTATGGAGAGGCGGTGATGAGGAGAGGGGTGAGGAAGAAGTGGCGCTGTGTCTCCACCCTACAGGGATCCTCACTGGCCGCTGTGTGAACTACAGCTCGGCACTCCGCACCTGTGAGATCCAGGGCTGGTGTCCCACTGAGGTGGACACAGTGGAAATGTAAGGAAGGGAGAGGACCCACCCTGCTCCCCTCCACCAGTGTGGGGAGCCCTGCAGAGGCTCTGAGGGTCCCTCAAAGTGCTCATTCCTGGGTTGGGGATGTGGCTCCAGGTATTCTCCCCCCCTCTCCCCCCCAACCCCCTCTAGTCCTCAGCTGAAGCTCTCAGAGGCTCCTCTGTCCGGGGTGAGGCTGTGGCTGGCCACCCCGGGGAGACTCCCACCAGGAATGGTGGCCCTGCTTCCCGTCTCATGGTCCCAAGGAGCCCAAGCCTCTGCTCTCCCCCCCCAGGCCGGTCATGATGGAAGCCGAGAACTTCACCATTTTCATCAAGAACAGCATCCGCTTCCCCCTCTTCAGCTTTGAGAAGTGAGTCCTCACTCCCTCCCTCAAGCCAAGAGGCAGTGCCCCTTGCCTCCTAGTTCCTCAGAAGAGGGCCCTCCCCATCCCCCAGGGTTCCCTTGACCCCCCTGGGTGCCCACCCCCTAGGCCACCCTGGCCCCCAGGAGTCCTCAGGGCCATCTTCTCTGCCAGCTTCCCTGACTTGGGACTCAAAACTTGGGAACAGCTTACACCTGAACCTGAGACCCAGGACACCCCCAGAGGCTGGGGAGGCCTGGGAGGCCCATCCACGCGCCCTCTCTCCTCAAATGCTGTTCTCTCTGAAAGCCTGCTGTCTCCATCCACTCAGTCATTCGCCGCGGACTTGGAGGGCACTGGCTGGGTGCAAGTGACAGTGCTAGGCACTGGGTGGTGGGTGGGTGGGGAACCTCTACCGCCCGCAGCCCCTGGCGTAGGAGCTGGAGATTAGGTGTGGACACAGGGTGACAATGTCCTGTCTGGGCATGGGGGAGTCCTGAAAAAAAAAAAACCCCCCGCTGAGGCAACACATGTGTCTGTCTGGGCTGCCTTCCTATTGACACTCCCTGGGTGATGCAAGAGGTTTTCATCAAGACCAACCCAAAGGTTGCAGGTTCAAACCCACACAGGGATAGTGCAGAAGCAAGGTCCTTACAGATTCCATCAAGGTTATGGATTCCATAAAGATTACAGCCCAGAAGAACGTACGGGGCTGTTCTACTCTGCACTGTGGGGTGACCAGGAGTCGAAACTGGCTTCCTGCAACAGGGTTGGCTTTTTGGTGTGTGTGTGTGTGTGTGTGTGTGTGTGTGTTTCTTTTTTGAGGAGGGGAGGGGATTGAATGGGCTACTAACTGCAAGGTTAGGGGCTGACCCCAGTGAGAAGTGCCTTGGAAGAGGCTTGGCGATCTGCTTCCTAAAGGCCACCCCATGAAAGCCCTGTGGCATCCCTCTGCTCTGCGCACACATGAGGTCACCATGGGCTGCAGCCGCCTTCCTGCTTGCTTGTTTGTGTGTTTGTGTTAGGTTTGGGCAGGGCATTAACCCTGGGACTCTCTCCCCAGGGGAAACCTCCTTCCCAACCTCACAGCTGATGATTTGAAGACGTGCCGCTTCCACCCCGACAAGGCGCCTTTCTGCCCCATCTTGCGGGTGGGGGATGTGGTCAGGTTTGCAGGGCAGGATTTTGCCAAACTGGCCAGCACGGTGAGGACACGGGGCGCAGCCTTTTGCGGGAATTGGGGCAGGAAGAAGAGATACCCAGGACAGGGGGGAGGGGCAGTGAAGCAGCGCCACCTGGTGGGGCCATCCCATGCCTGCAGCTGGCTTTGTGCCTGCATGCTGTCCACCTGCTCCCACAAAGATTTACAGCCCCCAAACCAAAGAAACAGTTCTACTGTCCTACAGGGTCACCCTCTGCTCTATAGGTCACGATGGGTCAGAACAGACTCTGTGGCAGCGAGTTTGCCTTTTGAGTGTTTCCCTGCCCTGAGTGGTCTTGCTTCTCCCAATCCCTACCCCTCAAGCCTCAGTTTCCACCCCCCACCCCCTGCTCTTCACCTGCATGCTTCACCGCCCAGATGGGAGACAAGTGGGTCTCTGGCCACTCTCCTGCGTTACATGCACTTAAGGGGTCTCACCCTAACTCCCGGACTTCTTCACCTAGCAACGAGTAACAAGTGTCTTTCTCCCCACGTCAGTCCTCCACTTAGAAAATGGAGAGAAATGGCAAGTCATGTCCCAACCCCAACCTCAGGCCCCTGCCCGCTGAGGCTGTGGGTCAGAGCTCTGCTGGGGTGCTCACCTCTGCTACTGTCTCAGGGTGGAGTCCTGGGCATCAAGATCGGCTGGGTGTGCGACTTGGACAAGACCTGGGACCAGTGCATCCCCAAGTACACCTTCACCCGGCTTGATGGCGTTTCTCAGAAGAGCAACCTCTCCCCAGGCTACAACTTCAGGTAAGCCCCAGGGTCCCTGGGACATCTGGATTCGGAGGAAGGGGTTGGTATCTCAGCCAGCAGTGTATGTTGCGAAGGAAAGGGCCCCATGGCCCCCCATCAGCAGGTGTGTGCCCAACTCAGCCTCTCCAGTTGGAAGTCAGCTCAGCTGGCCAGGGTCTCCTGAGACGTTGGGGTGCTGTGATTCTGGATCCCCATGGTCAGGCCTGGTTCCAAAGCTGTCACATGCCTGAGGCCCTCTCCGACGGCCCCATTCCCTCCCCCGTGCCTGGATTTTGTGCGGATTCTCGCTCCACAAAGTAAGTGCAATAACGGATCCTGTTTTGCAAGATGGTGATTTCGTATTTCTGTCTATAACCAAGGAGTCTTAGTGGCATGGTGGTTAAAGTGCCTGGCTGCCAAGCGAAAGGTCAGTGGTTCGAATCCACCAGCTGCACCACAGGAGAAAGATGTGGCGATCTGTTTGTCTAAAGAGTTGCAGCCCTGGCGATCCTCAGAGCAGTCCTACTCTGCCCGTAAGGCCAGCTGTGAGTCGGGATCGACTCACCAGCAGCGGTTGGCTCCATCACCAGGCAGTTTTGTCTGATTCACAAATAATAATGCTGAGGATGGTGGCCATTGGCTCTTCTTCAGTGCTTGCCACACAAGAGCTCGAGCCAGTCCTTAAAACTCACCTCACTTCGATTTCTGAGGGCCCGAGACGAAGGGGGCCTTTGTGGGTTTCATGGTGGTTGTTTTCCCACTGGAAGGAAGGTGTGTGAATCTGGGTACTTTAGAGAAACACATCCACAGAAAGGCATGTATAAGAGAGAGTTTTAGATAAAGGTGAAGTGCGCATCAAGAAAATATCCCAACCCAGTGCTGCCCAAGCCCAGAAGTTCAACATTAACCCATATGTCCGACACCAATCCACAAAGTCCTCTTCCATCTCACAAAACACACACTATGACGCTGTATGCAGGAGGGAAGCCGAGTCCGTGAACGTATAAGCATCTCAGCGCTGGCAGGGGTCTCCACACGGCTGCTCCAGCCCCCAGGGCTGTATCGGGGTAGGTCTATGCGGCTTCTCCTCAGGGACATCTTGCAGGAAGTGAGCCTGGCCAACTGAAGCAGGGAACTGGCCAAGGCAGCTGCACCCTGGTCTGACCATCACAAAGCAAGAGACCTGAGAACTCAAGAGGCGAGGCTCACAGAGCCATTTATCCCTCTGCCCTTCAATTAATTCCACATGCATTTATCGGCCAGGTTGGCACAATAAACATTAACTATCTCAGAAAGGAAAGGGATTAAAAAAAAAACAGGGGAGAAACCTTTTAAAACCAGCTGAAAATCCAGGAGCAAGCAACCCTTCTCCCACCCTCATTTCCATTTCTATGATAATCAGCTGTTGAAAACTACCGGCCACTCCACAGGAGAAATCCCAGGTTTTCTACTCCCCAAAAGATTGACAGTCTCAGGCACCCACAGAGGGGGTTCTACTCTGTTGTGTATGACATGATACTCAACAGCAACTGTCCTTGAGTGGGTTCCAGCGCATGAGGTGTGAGAGTTAGAGTAGAATGTGCTTTGTAGGGTTTTCCATGACTGGGCTTTCAAAGTAGACCACCAGACCTTTCTTCTAGGGCACCCCTGGTTTGACTCAAATGGCCAACCTTTCAGCGAGCAGCAGAATGGGTGAACTGTTGGACCCACCCAGAGACTCGCATAAAATGGGATAGTAGCATCGTTATCCTACCTCCCACTGCCTTTGAGTGGATGCAGACTCACAGAGACCCTATAGGACAGGGTAGCACTACTCCTGTGAGTTTCTGAGACTATAACTGTTTTTTTGTGTGCGTGCATGTGTGTGTATGAAAGAGCTTTATATAAAGAGTACATTAAGTACATTAAGAAAACATCCAAGCCCAGTACAGATCAAGTCCATAAATCTGATATGAGCCCACATGTCCGATACCAATCTATAAAGTCCTTTTCAGACTCATGAAACACATGCAATGATGCCCAATGCAGGACGATCACACATCAGTATGTGCAAAGTCTTGTGGATCCAGTGATGTTGTAAGCATCTCAGCACTGGCAGAGGTCTCCCATGTAGCTCCTCCAGCTCAGTGCACTAGCCTAGCTCCATGTGTCTTGTCAGCTGCAAGGTCTCCCAGGGAATAAGCCTGTGTCCCACCTCCAGCTAGCAATTTATCTCCTTAGTGCCTCCAAATGAGGTCATCAAGCTGTGACCTGATTGACAGGCTAAACTCCACCCCTTCACTCTTAAGTCTCAAATTGATAACAGATTATGTAACCACCACAGGGATCCTATATCCTATAAAGACTAACAGTCTTGGAAACCCACAGAGGCAGTTCTACCCTGTCCTATCAGGTCATGATGAGTCAGAATCGACTCGGTGGCAGTGAGTGAAGGCACACCGTGCCTGCTCCAAGCACAAACAGGCTCAGGAGGCCCTCAGAACGGTCCTTTCTGGGGACTCAACGGCTTAGCTCCCCATCACTTGATTGTCTGCCTCAGTCTACTAGAGAATCTATTCTTCCCTGTTTACTAACAGGAATAACCCTGGGGTTTCTCACCGTGATCGGACTGCTCGGCCTCTGCCCCTTGCCCTCCTGGCAGTGGTTTGTGTGTGTACCTGTCACACTTGACACTTCCTGAGTCAGGGTTGCGTTTTGTTTTTGTTTGAGACTTTCACTGTTTATAGGAGTAAAAAGCCCATCTTTCTCCCTTGGAGCAGCTGGTGGTTTCAAACTGCTGACCTAGGGGACTGCAGCCCAACGTATAACCACGAGGCCACCAAGGGCACCTATTGTTATCTTAGGAATCCATGAACCAGGGCATGGAAAGCTCCTGCTGTCTGGTTGGTTCTCTTCCCTTCATTTTTGAAAACGCAGACAACATTTCTGGCATGCCGATGATGAACTACACAACATTATACACTAAACAGGTGAAATAGACAGTGGCAGGGATGTAGGAGAGTGGAATACATATAAGAATTTATTTTCACTCCTCATTCAAAGAATTTCTACTCAGATGTCTATTGTCTCATGACCCCATTCCTTGTAGTGATGTCTGACCACAGAATGATGCCCAATAGCACACATCACCATGTCACCGGTTTTCCATTTTTATTTGCAACTCTCAAAAGGAATGGCCCACCCCACTCAGCTTTATGTTTAATCGTTCAAAATGTCTGTGCATACTCCCTGGAGAGAGGAAGGTTTAAAAATTGAAAATGCTTTCATAGTCAACTCCAAACTTAAAAAAAAAACCAAGACCCATAGGAAACAACACATATTTTAAAGTAGGTTAAAAATACTGTTTGGCTCCCTGGCAGAAATTGGCATGTTTATTCAGTCGGTGGATCACACTGAAATCAATACAAAGGATAATCGTGGCTTAAAATAGGAGCGTGTTCATAAAAGTCTCATGATTCAAAAGCTAAGTCTTCATCTTCATAACGGCGCTCGGACCATTGGCAACTCTTCAGTCCTCCAGACAACTCACGTGGCAGCAAAGTGTTTAAGAATACCATGAAGACCCCCCCCCCCATCGCCTGCCCCGCAAGGATTGCTGTCATACAGTTTTAGCACAAAGGCTTTCATGTCAAAGAATTGGTTGGGGTGTTTTATCTCCACTGTAGAGTGTTGCGGCTGCCTCTTCCTCACCCCCCACCCCACCTATGTCCCAAGCACAACAGAGAAGATAGACCTGCTCAAAAAAAACAACAACCATGGCTTGTCCATGGGAGATAGAACACAGAAGCCCCTGACCTCTGAGAACCCCCACCAGTATAATTTACTGAAAGGCGGGGGCTCCTTTTAAGTCCCTCAGCCAACCCCCCCAGATCAATGTCTGAAGCTACTTGGTCCATAGGTGTTAACAGTGCTTCCAAGGGCCCAAGGAATAAGAGTGGCATGCAGGAATACCTGACATCACAGCAAAGCAGGCTGGGGCAGGGGTGGCTCAGGGGCAGGGCTTTTGCCTTCCATCTGGGAAACCCAGGTTGGAGTCCCATCCAAAGCAGGTCAAGTGGAACCACCACCAGTCTGCAAGTAGCAGCCTTCACCTCGCCAGGGAGTCCCTGTGGGGCAAATGGACTCAATGGCAGTGAATTCCTATCGATTGAATGTGGACGAGAGTAAACAGGTTTCAGTGGAGTCTCTGCATGAAGACCGTAGGAAGGAAGGCCTGGCGGGCCCCTTTTGAAAAGCAACTAATGAGAAACCCACAGATCACCACAGTCCACCATGGGGCTGACACAGGGCTGGGCCGCATTTTGTTTTGCTGTGCAGCAAACACAACGACAAGCAGAGGACTCTGTCTACCAACCTCGTAGAGCCTTCAAGCTACTAGCACCACACCCTTACCGAGCTAAGCTAAGAGCCCGGGGCAAGGCGGCTACAAGCCTCGCCTTGGCAACCTTCAGAGACAGTCTCACAAAGCCGGCTTGGCCACAGGGTGATCTCCGTGACGCCACATCCGCTGGGCTGTCCTGTAGAAGCCCACAGGGCAGCAGTACCTGCTACTCAGGGCTGAAGGCAGTCTGTGTGCAAAGCTCTTTGTGTGCCTCGCTTCATGTGTGTTCTACACCAATCCGAGAGGTAGGCACTACCATCCGCCCACTTCACAGATGCAAACACCGAGGCTTACCTGATGAAATGAGTTTTTCAAGGTCACCTGGTGATTAAGCGTGGGAGCCTGGGTTCACACACCTGTGCTTGGATGATCTTCACCCCAAGTTGGAAGGTTAAGTAGAGTCATGTGTATTAATCCTCAGGAACACACACACACACACACACACACACACACACACACACAC